TGATTTTATTTCACTTTCCCTCACAATCCGACGAAATTAATCGCGAGATCTGGAGTGGACTCGAAGATGCATTGTCTCAGGGTTTGGTCCGATCCATAGGGGTCTCCAACTTCAATGTCCAACAGTTACAAAGTCTCATCCAAACAGTGAATGTATTTCCAGCGATGAATCAAATCGAAAGTCACCCGCAATTGAGTCAAAGACAACTCATAGACTACTGCTTCCAATTCAATATACGAGTAACGGCTTACTCGCCATTAGGCGCCGGCAGTCTAATTGGAAATCCGACTCTTGTGGACATCGGAAAGAAATACGGGAAGAGTTCGGCACAAGTGATGATCAGATGGCAAATACAGAGAGGAGTTGTGGCCATTCCTAAGAGTACCAAAAGAGATAGACTTAGAGATAATATCAATGTATTTGATTTCACTCTCACTGAGCAAGAGATGAAGACTATTGAAGAAATGTAATGATAATTAGTATTCATAATAAAAATACATTCAATATTTAAATCCTAAATTAGAAAAAATTATTACATTTACTTCAGAATGTTGGCCATAATCTAGAGTAACTTCACTTATATGTGACATAACAGTGCTTAGAAAGTTTAATTCACAGAATCTATGAATTAATTACTAAAGTACTGTACTGCATTGATAAAAACCCGCTTATAATGATTTGTGAATTATAATCCTGATCATTAATCGCGTGATTATACAATCAATAATTCTTTATGTGATATTCGGTTTGATTTTCCAATTCAACTATAAATTCATTCAAAAAAAACTGATTCAGTAATGCGTTTACAATATCTATAAGTGTTTTGTTAGACAGTGGTCTAAAGTGATATCTCATACCATACCACCCAACATTTTTGTAATTATAGATAGGATTTGTTATTCAATTCAATGATTTCAATGAATTAGTATTCATTGATAATTCTGAGACTACTTTTGGTGGCAATCATTGATTGTATTATTGAAGTAAATACCAAAAACACGGGAAAGACATCCTTCCAGTCCTCCGGTTCCCAATCAATGGTCGACTGTTCGGACCCCAGAAGTGGTCAAAAGACAACAACATTCACCGATACTATCACACAATGTCTCGACAAGAAATGGCTCTTAAGAAGTACTAACACTACTCATGAGGCCTGTTATCAGTTGGATCTGCTGTGTAATGAAGCGAAACATGTATACAATATCTCTAATAAACCATAATATAGTCATTAATTATAAGAAATACAAACACTCTTTATTTGAACGGAAAGTTTCAGCAAAATTGCAAACCAATGGACGGAATGGCAGACGTGTGGAAAGCCTACGAAGAGATAGTGAACAGCACTCGACTCACACACGGCGTGAATCTGACCATAACTTATGTCCTAAAAAGATGAAACCCAACATTCAAAAGGACACGGAGTGTAAGCCATGGATGCGTTGCGTTGAACGTGATATCCGCCAATCCCTCAACTGTGCGACGGCTATGAGCACCGACTGGTTTCATAGGGGCGCCTGTATTT